GCATAAAATAAAAATCAAAAAGGCAATTTTCTAAATGGCATAACCTCCCTAGAAGCACTTTAACTATTTGTTTTCAAGGTCATTAATCTCTTAACATACACTTTATGTATTTTAGTCAATAAATTTCATATTATTGCTATAATTGTTCTAACATAAATGATATCTCAACACATGAATCATGTAGCCATCTCTATTCCAATTACCCTATTCTGATCAACTCTATGCTAGCATACACATGGTCCACTTTGACCAAGGAAGTGAGAAAATTCCCATTCAAGATTAGACTATTAGTGCTTCGGATGGAATATTTCTATTTTCATGAGTCCCAGTAGACCATATTTATGCAAGCATGGTGCTAAGGAAGATAGGGTAACAGAATGGAGGGTGGATTGACAAGGTTCTCAAGGGGAACCAACTTTGGGTTCTCGAGAGAAATTTTGGATTCTCAAATTCTACAGTGAAGGATTAGTGTTTCCTTAATTTTTTTAGTTAAACCTCTAAAAAGATTAATTTTAAGTTTGAAAGTGGAACCAAATTGAAACTACGAGCAAAGTACCATTTAACTTTATATTTTAATTTCATGTGCTGAGGCTGTCACTGAACTAGTTGAACAATCTGGCTATGGATTTTTGATGGTCTGTTTTGTTGTTGGGAAGTAGAAGGAAATTAGAGAGAAATCAAGAGGGTAAAGAGGAGGATGAGGTTTTAATATAAGAGTAAAAGGTTGATGGAATAAGAAGGAATTTAGCCTTTATCAAATGTTAAGAATTATATCTTAATTGTGAGGGCAATGCATTTTGGAAGGAAAATTATTTGTATACCATGTGATTCAATACACTTTTTAATATTCACATGGTTTAATTATTAAAATAAAATATAAATATAATTTATTTAATCGATTTCTATATTTTACATGTATAATTGTATTTTTAAAATTATTTGTCTTTTCCATTAAAGTTAAATTCTAATGAGATGGTACTGTTAGATATTTTTTTAATACATTTCAAAAGTTTAAACTCCTTACCTTAATTCTAAATTAAAATTTTTATATTAATAGATATCAATTTAACAAAACTCATATTAGTAACTTTATTAGGTGATGAGATATTTTAATTTACTAAATTGTGTTTGTCTTATTAAAGAGGATAACAACTACATACAGATGCGTACTAGAAAACTTGAAAATTTAGTGCTCCCTTACTAATTGGTTACCTCGATTTGAATGAGAAATATTTGGGATACACGTTAGGAGGCAACTTCTTCGAGGCTTCCATAGAGAAATTTGGATCCATGAAGATGAAACAGGAAGGTCCATTACTCCAACTATGAAAGCATGTGTCCTTGGAAATTAATAAATCTGAGTTAGATGGTGCGTTCGATCCCATCCCATCACCTTGTCACCCACGGCACACTACATTTAAAACACATTAATGAATTTGGTATACTTATACATTAGGAAGCAACTTCATTGAAGCTTCCATCGAGAAATTTAGATCCATGAAGATGAAGGTCCACATATCTCCTTAATGGTAATCAATAAGAAGGTCCATCAACATATCCATTTCGTTTGTAAATGGTCTATGGCTCCTCAGTGAAACCAAGTCATCCATGGAAATTCAAGTCAGCTAACGCGTCCTTGGTAACTACTATTTTCTTTTAGTTATTTTTAATTATATTTTCTTTAATTATTCAAATAAATCTAAGAGAAATTATTTTAAAAAATAATTAACACACTCTTTGATTTAATACATTTTTCGAAATTGTCCCAGTTCAATTATTAACATATAATATAAGTAAAGTCAATTTAATCAATTCTTATGTTCTATATGCATGTTTGTATTTTTAAATTTGTTTACTTTTAATTTCAAAATAAAACATAATAATTTTTAATTAATGTGTTGTATAGTGTATTGATTAGGATAATGTATCAATTAATAGCCAATTATTTTTGAAATTTAGTTAATTAATAATGCTAATGGATTGATACTTTACTTATTATTATATTATTTAGAGTGACTAATAAACTTGTTAGAATAATTTTATTGCACCAAAATTGATGGAATAAAATGGCATTTCAACCTTTATTTTTTTTATGTAAATATTTCAACCCTTATTAAATGTTAAGAATTATATAATCTTTTTTTTTTTTTTTTGATCAGCCAAAGAGAGGATTAAATTAAATGGAGTACAAGGGATACTCCTACCCATATTGTACAGGAATACTTACAAATAATCAAAAGTAAATCAAGATTTATAGATGATTCATCAAAAACTTAAGATATGTTGGCTATAATCTAAGCCTTAGCTATCATCACGCTCTTGCATGCTTGAATCTTGATTTAACTGTGAGGACAATGTTTTTTGGAAATTAGATTAAATCCACTAATAAATAGAATGACTTTTACATGATCATGATTTGTGATTCTAAATAAAAACAATTAATTACAAAATATCACATTACATTATACAAAATATTATACTTACAAACAATGCATGTAGCATTTTCTTCATTTTCTTCCTCTGTTAAAGTTAAATTTTGATGATGTGGCTTTGTTAGATATTTTTTTGTACATTTCAAGAGATTAAAATTTTAACTTTAATTCTAAATTAAAATTTTTATATTGATAAATATTAATTTAACCAAACTCATATGATTCACTTTATTAGATGATTCAAAATATTTTAATTTATTAAACTATCATTTTCATATTAGAGGGGATGCCATGTACATATAGACTAACTAGAATTAGTGCACTTTCATTCGTTATAGTAAACTTGAAAATTTAGTGTCCCTTTCTCACTCCACTAATTGGTTACCTTGCGATTTTGATTAAGAAATATTTGGTATACCTACATGTTAGGGACTTAGGAGGCAACTTCATTGAAGCTTCCAATGAGAAATTTGGATCCCCTTGAAGACGAAAGCAATAAGATATCCCCATCACCCTTAGCGCACCGTTGAAATACATTATTGAATTTGGATGAACCAAAAACAAATACATAATTGAATTTAATATACTTACACATTAGAAAGCAACTTCATCGAAGCTAGCTTCTATTGAGAAATTTAAATTTATAAAGATGAAAGTCCACAAGTCCCCTTCATCGTAATCAATACGAAGGTCCATCCACATGTCCTTTTTGTTTGCAAGTCTATGGTTTTACGGTAAAAGTAAGTTGTCTTTGATTAAGTCGTCTATGAAAATCTAACTCAACTGACACGTTCATTATCTCATCCCATCTCCTTCAGTGCATTAATTACTTTAATTTTTACTTTTGAAAATTGTACGTAAATGGTGAAATTACAGCTGGCTTAAACATTAATGCTATCTATATAATTGAGTATTTTTTTATCACCAGTGAAGTTCTTTCTTTTCTTTTTAGAAAAGCTAAGAACTTTTGTTCTCTACCCTTCAAATCTTAGAATGTCAACAAATTTGATGCATAACTATTGACAAAAACTATATCTCTATGATTAAAAATTGTAGGTCTTGCTCCAAGGCATATACATACGAACAAAAAAATATAATTATATTTAACATAGCTATAAATATCTAATCTAACTATGCTCTTGGCAATATTGTTGCAAAAAGATGCAATTAGCAACTATATTAATTGTCGCAAGGAGAGGGATTTTCTAACTATTTTAA